ATTCAAATTCCAAAAAAAAAAAAAAGCTAAGAATTTAATTTTAGAAAAATAAAATTCAAAAAGTTTTTGGCCCAAAAAGATAAGCATTGGGCCAGACAAGCCCAACCCAACCTCACACCACACACCCGTGCCCAGCCAGCCTGCCCGATCGGACGAATAGCAGCGACGGTGTGCATGTGTGTGTTGTTTTGCATCCAATGGGTCTAGCCCACTTTGCCTATAACCTCACTCTTCTACAAAACTTGGGTACCCCTTGGGGCTCTCCTCAAGTTCCAAACCCAAGGCTTATAAACCCACACAAAGTTTGCCTACCAATACAATGTGGGACAAACCTTAATTCCAGCCTTTATGGAAATTTTACCAAAAATACCATTTCTATGGAGCTCACTTTGGCTTCAACTTCCCATTCACTCGATAATGGTTTTGAGCAACTAGATATACTACATGAATCACAACATGGTATAGAACGCGTTACCACCAATACCCACTATGACCGGTACTTGGGACCTAGTTAAATTATAGTCCAAAGTTATCGAAAAATTCTGTTTCTGTACAGAATTTCCTCAACCATTCTAACACTCTTCACTCTCCAAGGACTATTTTTTATGTTAGTATGGGCAATGCAAGGTCGTCTCTTATAAGAAGTGAGTTTTTCAAGATCCATTTTTGCTTCCATTTACATGAATAGATTCATACACAGTAATGGCTCAAGATTTTTGAACACCTTAAAGCAAACATCATAATAAGACTTTATATCATTAGGTTTTTGAAAAATCGAGCACTTCAATAGTAAATTTTTTTTCAAGATTTTCTTGATAGACCTTAGGCGATCAGCTAAGTGACTTATTAGTTGAGCTACCTTTATTCGTATATGCTCAAATACACTTATGTTGTCTTTCACAACTCTAATTAGTAATTGTTTGTTCGTTATCAAGCACTAACACTCATCGGGCACTTCTTAACATGCGTTGGACACTTGTCCAACGTGTCCTATTATTTTTTAAAATTTTTTTTTAGATCCGGACACCCTTTGGATACTTGAAGGACACATGTCCATTACTTAAATATGCATAAAACTAAACCTAACGAATAAAGCTGAAAGAAAATTAATATAGATTTACAAAAATTAGTATTATATTGAGTTTTTTTATTTTTTATTTTTGAATGATATATTTATATATATAATATAATAAATACTATATATTTTGTGCGTATCTCCCACATGTCAAGGGTTTCGGGAGGAGAAATTCCCCTCTAGAAACCCTAGATCTGAGATTCAAATCTAAGGTTTCGGGAGGAGAAATTCCCCTCTAGAAACCCTAGATCTGAGATTCAAATCTAAGGTTTCGGGAGGAGAAATTCCCCTCTAGAAACCCTAGATCTGAGATTCAAATCTAAGGTTTCGGGAGGAGAAATTCCCCTCTAGAAACCCTAGATCTGAGATTCAAATCTAAGGTTTCGGGAGGAGAAATTCCCCTCTAGAAACCCTAGATCTGAGATTCAAATCTAAGGTTTCGGGAGGAGAAATTCCCCTCTAGAAACCCTAGATCTGAGATTCAAATCTAAGGTTTCGGGAGGAGAAATTCCCCTCTAGAAACCCTAGATCTGAGATTCAAATCTAAGGTTTCGGGAGGAGAAATTCCCCTCTAGAAACCCTAGATCTGAGATTCAAATCTAAGGTTTCGGGAGGAGAAATTCCCCTCTAGAAACCCTAGATCTGAGATTCAAATCTAAGGTTTCGGGAGGAGAAATTCCCCTCTAGAAACCCTAGATCTGAGATTCAAATCTAAGGTTTCGGGAGGAGAAATTCCCCTCTAGAAACCCTAGATCTGAGATTCAAATCTAAGGTTTCGGGAGGAGAAATTCCCCTCTAGAAACCCTAGATCTGAGATTCAAATCTAAGGTTTCGGGAGGAGAAATTCCCCTCTAGAAACCCTAGATCTGAGATTCAAATCTAAGGTTTCGGGAGGAGAAATTCCCCTCTAGAAACCCTAGATCTGAGATTCAAATCTAAGGTTTCGGGAGAAGAAAGAATATGGTGGAGGAAAAGGAGGAGGAGGAGAAAAAGAAAAAGAAAAAAAAAAGATGTGAGGCTGTGAATGAAAAGAACAGGATCGCAGACTCCACTACCAGAGGTGGTGGGCGTTCAGAAGCGAATATGGTAGTGACTGGTTGCAGAGAGTGGTAAGAGGGGTTTCAAGGGAGTGGCAATGAGGAGCGATAAAAACAAGAGGGACTACAACAAAAATGGGTTTTTATGACATACAATAAATGCAAGCCTAATTTTTTCACTTTTACGACTTTCTTTTTTTGTTTGTCGTAAATAATATCCTAACCACGACATGTCTATTGGTTAGGTTGTTAATGTTAATAATGGTGATTTTCTTACGACTTGCAATATTAACCGTAAATAATAAAACTTTCTATGACATTCAAATGTCATGTCATTAATATATCAATTATACATAGCACACAAATGGTAGTCGTTAAAAACATTTTACTTCTCACATCACAATTTATATCATGAGTAGTATGACTAAGGGGTTGTTTGTGATGATCTAAATAAGTATACTTTTTGACTTTTTATGAAATATGGGTCGGATGTGAAGTGATATTGTAGAGAGATAATGTAATTTAAATAAAATGATGTGACTTAAATATGATAGTGATTTTTTGACTTTTAAATTTTTTTAAGAATGCCAAAACTAATCTAAAAAAAATGGTGCTAAAATAAAATATGATCCGATGTGAATCACCAAAAATATATTCACTATGTTTGGTTCTATTTTTCTAAAAACGGTTTTAAGAAAATTCTACTTTTTTATTTTTCGTATTTTTTTGTTTTTACTGAATTTTTTTAATATTTTATGCAAATTTTTTACTTTTTAGACACACCTAACATAAATACACCTAAAAAGTAAAAAAATTGTAAAAAAAATATTTTAAAAATTCACTAATTACCATAAATACAAAAAAAATACAAGAATTCAGTACATTTTTGTATTTTTATGTATTTCTTAATTTTTTAAAATATTCTTTCACATCTAAGTAAGGCACATCTTAAAAAGTAAAAAAAATGTTTAAAATTTTAAAAATATTCACTAAAAACAAAAAAACACGAAAATCAAAAAATTCAATTTTCAAAAAACTTAATCCAGAAAACTCAAATCAAACACATTGATTAGAGTTATTATTAATTTTTTTTTTAATCCAAATACAAACTCTTTGCCTTCTAATCTATACTATATATTAAGCAAAATGAGGTTTTTAACCCAAGGCCTGTGGGAGCTCCAATCTCCTAATCCTAATTTTCTAATTTTTTGATTTAAAAAAAAAAACCTCAGCATTTATTGACTTCTCCCAACCCAACCTCAGCATTTATTGACTTTTCCCAACCCACAATCCCTTTTGACTTCTCTCATAATTATTGCAACGCCCTTTTCAATTTCTTTCATAAACTATGGTTACACACAAAAATAAAAAATAAAAAAAGATAAGAATTTAGCTATAGATCTCAAAAAGATATAACATCTAAATTTGAATTATGATTTAATAATATAATTATGTATTTTTTTTTATGTATATCTATCAAAATTTTAAATCACTTAATGGGACAAATTAATCAATTTTCCAAAATTATTGATTTTTAATTTACAAAATAGATTAAAAAAATTATTGATTGATTTATTTATTTAATAACAAAAATATTTTATAATCTCTCTCTCCTAATTTCTCTCACAAATTTTCAAAAAAAAATATTAAAACTTGCATTCATTTTCTCTTTCCCAAAAACTTAGATAATATTTTTTTTATTAAAGTTGTAGATATCTACCTATATTTTATATATTATATTACAACATAACAAAAAAACTATAAAACTAAAAAAAAAATCTTTAAAGTTTATCTAAATAAACTTTAAATCAATATAACTCACATATCTATCACATATCTAACTCACATCATAACTTACCTAAATAATAATAATTAAAAACAAATGAAAACCACAGATAAATTAAATTTAAAAAAAAAAAGATACCCACAACTCCATCTTAAATAAGTTGAAAAAAAAAATTACTTGAATAGAAATCACACAAAAATAAAAATAAAAAGATATATCTACCTATCTATCTATATCTATCTATACTATATATTAAGCAAAATGAGATTTTTAACCCCAAACCTTGTGGGAGCTCCAATTTCTCAATCTAAATTTTTAAAATTTTTGATTAAAAAAAAAAAAAACTCAACATTTATAGATTTGGTCAAAATCTTTTGATCCTCATTTATTAACTTTTTTCAATCTACATGCCTACATTTATTGATTTGGTCAAAATCCTTAATTAGCATTTAAAACCCCCTCATACAAATAATTATAGATACAGCCCGTGCATAGTTACTGCAGTAACCTTTTTAATTTCTCCTGTATACTATGGTTAGTGATAAGATTGTTAAATTATTTTTATAAAAAATCTTAAAAAACATAATTTATATATTAAAAAAAATTAAAAAAAATATAAATATTTATAATTATCCCGTGCATAGTACGGGTGATAAGCTATCTATATTATATATTAAGCAAAAGAGGGTTTTTAACCCTAAGGCTTGTGGGAGTTTCAACATCTCAATTTGAATTTTTTAAATTTTTTATTTTTTATTTAAAAAAAAAACTCAATATTTATTGATTTGGTCAAAATCTCCTGATCAGCATTTATTAACTTTTTTTTCAATCCACATGTCTTTCCACATGCCTGCATTTATTGATTTGGTCAAATTTTTCTGATCAACATTAAAAATTCCCTTATACAAATAATTATAGATACAATTCGTGTATAGTTATTGCAGTACCTTTTTCAACTTCTCCCATACACTATGATTAGTGATAAGATTGTTTAATTATTTTTATAAAAAAATCTTAAAAAACATAATTTATATATTAAAAAAAATCTAAAACAAATATAAATATTAATAATTATCCGTGCATAGTACGAGCGACAGGCTAGTTGGTTTCTATAAAAAAGTGGATGTTGCAAAACCTAGAAGAGAGGGAGAGGGAGAGGGAGAGGGAGAAGAGAGAGGGTTCGAAGCCAAGATTGGTTTAGCGGCGCGTGACTTCGACCTGGAACAGTACTTTCCCTTTGGCGGCGACAATTCTTGAGGTATGTTCGGATTCCCTCTCTCTCTCTCTCTCACACACACACATTCACTCCATTTGTTCGATTAATTTCTCTGCTTACATAGCGAGAATATTTACAAGTGGAAGTGAAGAATTTGGGAGCCTCTATTTACCCACCATCAATTCTCTCATCCCACACCATTTCTTTCTTCACACCACACAATTTCTCAATCCACACTATTAAATTCCTCAAACCCCATTATCTTCATCATCTTTTACTAACCAGAACCTCAACCCCGACCACTTCCACTGCCGGTGCGGGAGCCCTCTCCCTTAGCCGTCACCTCTCTTTACCACCTACTACCTACCTGGATCTCTCTCTCTCTCTCTCTCTCTCTCTCTCTCTCTCTCACACACACACACACACACACACCCCTACAATTTCTCACTCTCTCAATCGTGATCGCAATATCGCGATCTACTCTCTTTGTCGGGCTGCGGAGGTGGTGGCGGTGGTTGGATGTTTTGGGGGAATGAGGTGGTGATCTCTCTCTTTCTACAATCTGTGATTTCTCTCTCTCTCTCTCTCTCTCTCTCTCTCTCTCTCTCTCTTTCTCTCACAATCACTCAATCACGATCTATTCTATTCATCGGTCTGCGACAGCGCTGTAAAGAGGGCACTGGGCAGACGCGATGAGATGAAGTTGGGGAGTGGGTAGCCAAGGCAGAAGGGGTCACGGAGGAGACGGTGGTGGTGGCTGGTGGTTTTTGGAAAATGAGAGGAGTGGGGAGTGGAGGAACCTGCGGAAGAAGATGGCTAGGGAAGGTAACCGGGATGGGTGGGGCGAGGGTTGGCGGTGTGTAAAATGAGAATAAATAAATAAAAAAAAATTGAAAAATGAGAATTGCGGTGTCCTTTTTGCTAATTTTCTAAATGGACAAAATGAGAAAAAAAAATTTGAAAAATGGTGTGGGATAAGAGAAATGGTGGTGTGTAAATAGAAGCGCCCAATAATTTGTAGGTCGAATCTGATATCAATCCATGAGACCAGTAAAACTCAGCACTTGAGTTAAAGAAAATATCATGAATTTTCAAAAAAATAAAAATAAAAAATTAGCAGAAAGTAGCAAAAAATCGGTGATTACCTCAGGGAATTTTTCATTATCAGAAATTAGCAGAAAATCGGTGATTAAAAATTCTGTTTTTCTTCTTCTTCTTCTTTATTTTTTAATTTTTTTATTAATTTACCGAAATTAGCAGAAATTCTCGTTAGTTTCTTTAGCTTTCTTTTGTTTACAATATTGCGTTTGGTAATATTTATGTTTTTGAGTTTATATTTACAAAAATTTTATAAATTGTTTTTTGTTTATTTAAAAAAAAACATAAATTACAAACGCGTTTGGTTGAACAAAATGTTTAAAAAATTTTAAAAGCATAAAAATTAAAAAATATGTTTGTTTAGGTCTAAAATATTTATATTTATTTTTATTATTTATGACAATGGGATCGCATATAATTGAAAAATAATTGAAAAAAATTATTTAAAAAAAATTAATTGAAAAAAAATTAATTAAAAAAATAATTGAAAAAAATTTAATTGGGGAAAAAATTATTTGAAAGAAAAAATTTGAAAAAAAAATTGAAAATTGAAAATTGAAAACGTAAACTTATTTTTTGAGTTTATGTTTTTTTCTCAAATTATAAATTGAGATAATCATTTATAAACTAAAAAAATTATCAAACAAGTTTTTATGACAGTTTTTAAAATTTTTGTAAATATAAACTAAAAATTAAAAACGGAATGATTACCAAACAGGCCAAATAGTCATATATGAGAATCGATCAATTGTTCGAAGAGGGTTTGAAGGTGGATTCACTGTGTTATTTGTTTCCCTATTAGAACATGGAATCAAAACAAAATATATTTTACTACTGCACCATAATCTGGAACCAATTGATACACTACATGGCTTTAATGCACTGTATATTCTTTGTATAATATTTGACACCAAATTTGAAACTCTTACCAAAAAACTAGAAGGAATCTAAGGTCGAGTAATCAGAATGCCTAACAAATGTAGTTTAAACATCTGATTCGAGAAACCAATTTTAAACCTCAAAACTACCTAAGGATTAGAATTTTTCTAGCCTTAGTTCAAATTTCTCTAGCCTTTACTTATTCTGAGTCATCAAATAGACTTCAGAATTTCTCTTAACAGAGATCTGGATGGTAGCACAAGGGCAACCAGAAGTTTGCTGTACTTTGTCATGGTGGCTCACTGCTCGTGCCTCTATGATTTAGCCTACCCTATCAATGTTCTCCCAATTTTTTTTTTATTAAAATTGGGTTGTGACAAATACAATCGGGTCGAGTAATTTGCCATCCCTTATATGCAGTTGAAATTTAGCAGAATCTCAAATAAGAGACAATCATGAGACTTCAACGGAGATTTGCAAAAGATACTCCTAATTGGGCAATTATATGCATTAAGAAGTTTGCTGTACTTTGTCATGGTGGCTCACTGCTCGTACCTCTATGATTTAGCCTACCCTATCAATGTTCTCCCAAACTTTTTTTTATTAAAATTGGGTTGTGACAAATACAATCGGGTCGAGTAATTTGCCATCCCTTATATGCAGTTGAAATTTAGCAGAATCTCAAATAAGAGACAATCATGAGACTTCAACGGAGATTTGCAAAAGATACTCCTAATTGGGCAATTATATGCATTATTGCAATTTTTCTATTAGTAACACATTTAGATTCTCAACCCATTTAATAGAGGCACAATTATGGCAGAGTTATAATTGTACATAAACTTCAATTTTTTCGAAGTTCTAATTGAATCAATCAAAATTTCGTGTTCTACCATGCTAGTGCTGCTGCTGGCCAGTTTACTGATTCATTTCTTCTTTCCTCCTTTCCCCTATCAAATCATCCCAAACAGTGATTATCACAAAATTTTTTTTGGGTGAATAGATTTTCACACATCATTTTTATGTTTAGCAAATTTATCTTTTAATAGAAATGAATAAACATTTGAAAGAGTAACACATTTTGTATTGTTTTCATTTTTCGAAAAACATATAAAATTATTTTGGCATACTGCTTTCGTAATTTATTATTATTATTTTGGAAAGTAGTCCGTTTTTTACACCAAAAAATTGTTTTAACATAAAAATGAAAATGATACAAAATGGGTGAGGGGAGGATGATGGTGTCAAGATGGTGGGGTGAGGGAGTGTGGTTAGCGGAGGGGATTGCTGGGGAGGCGAAAGAGAAGGATTGTCGGAGAGTAGGTGGTCTATCTTGAGTTTGGTCCTGGGTGGGTCTTAAGATTGGTTCTCAGGTATTTAATTTTTTTTAGAAACTTTTTTTAAGCATTGTTGCTTCTTTGATGTTCCAAAGGGTTAGTTTGGGTGACCCTTTTTGTCTCTCCAAATTATTGTTTGTCCATAAAATAGAGCAGAGGTTAGATCTAAGCCATTATTTGATTAATTATACAGGCCCACCCTACTTTTCTGGTAATCAACTGTTAATACCCCTGAATCCAAACAATAATGTAGCTCATGGATTTATGTGGAGGGGGTGAAAAAAGAAAAGAAAAACAAGTAGAAGCTATTAGCTTTAATACTTATTTATCTTCATTTTATGGCATGAACAGACGTCAGATCTAAGCCATTATTTGCGTTTTGTCTTTTGATGTAGAGTAGGCAATTTAGCTTTAGTACTTATTTATCTTTATTTTATGGCATGAACCTAGACAGATTATTCCAATTATTTGAACTTAGTGTTTTATGCTCTGTCATTGTGGTTTATCATGAAATATTTTTTTGAGGGGATATTTTTCTTGGTTTCTTGCTGAGAAATATTGTCACGCCCCAAATTTTATTACTCGGAAACATTACCAAAACCTTTAATTCAAGTCCATTTTATTAAATACATTTATTATTACAAATAACCATTACATTGAGTAATAATAATATTGTTCTCTCTTGAATGAATACAACCATAGTACATGTTAACATTCACATTGAATTACACATAAATTTCTCATTTACACTATGACTTGTAAAAGAAAAAAAAGCTCTTCAAATCTTCATTCCGGCGTTCCAGACTTCGTTCCTGAAAATGATCAAAATAAATGGGATGAACACGAAGTCCAGTAGGAATCTTCCTTGATTCTAAATAATAAGATCATTAGATACATGTGATCATGAATGCTAACAAGTAATACATGTACATTTAAGATGTTCTGTCATATTCGAAAATACAATATATATATATATATATAGGAATACCATTTTCCTAAAAAAAATCCACGAACAACTTTTCAAAGAAATGATTTTTTTTTTTTGTTTCTATATGATTCTAGTATAGTTTTCAAAAGTTCTATACAAAAATCCCTTGTTGATATTACCAAGAAGTCTAATTATAGAAAATAATCATTCTAATATAAGTCATTACAAATTATTATCCATTATAACCACATTAGATGAATCTACACAATCCTACATATTCAACTATACACCATTATGACTATTTACTTACCATTATCCCAATCACACGTGTAAATCTCGTTATAATCGTTTCACATAAACCAAATATAAACCGGCTCCATTACCAAGCCACATCATCACACAACCACTCTTTACTGGTCATGAGCCGGAAGGAATGCGGAACCTCACCCTTTACTGGTCACAAGCCGGAAGGAACGTGGAACCTCACCCTTTACCCTTTACCGGTCACAAGCCGAAAGGAATGCGAAACCTCTATTAAGCGCCACGCTTTGCTAGCTCAAATACGACGGGAAACGGACCCTAAAACAACATCCCAATCCGTCCATTCCTCAAGTCATTACCCATTATGATTTGTGGGCAAAGCCAACACATCGTTCATTATTTCCGTTACATATTAGCTTAATTACACATCCACCATATGATAAGGATTTATTCACATAACAAGTACTCATCATGTTCCACCACATTCTTTATTATTTATCAAGTCATTCATTGTTACAATTCCGACAAAGAAAAACAAT